CTCTGGCCATCCTGACGGATTCTTTCCTCCTGGACAGGCTTATTAAGTAGCCATGACTGAAACAGTTTGCAACGACTCGACAGTATCGACGACAACGAGTGAGCGGCCAGCGACCAGCAACAGGGCCCATGTATCAACAAATTTAGACGCACATTTAACTCCAGCCCCATCTCGCGCAAGAGATGCTTTTCTTTGATTCTATTCTCAATCCAATTTCTTTTGTCGGCGTTTTCTATCAAGATCATATACCCAACATCGGTTGATCGCCATACTGGGTATATTCGCAGTAACTACAGCCTTGGACGACATACAACTGGACGGACGACGGAAGAGGAGGATTGTACATGACAGCTGGTTTCTAGATCAGAGTCGTCCGAAAGCGTCTCGGTACGAACGAGTAGGGCTATTGTGAAGGCGGTTTTATACTCTTTTTAGAGAGATGGGATGAGGCATATTAGGAAAGCAAGGACGGACTCGGTAACATTGGACGCGGCCAAGGAGGAACGGCCTGGATTTCCGTAAAGCACTCTCAGGTGAAAGCACAAGGCTGAGTACCTGGCGCGTTATACCCACCGGCGAAACGGGTTGGAATCGATTTCTAATTTCTACCATTATCATTACTTCTGCCTCATCTCTGCTTGTTTTCTCCTTGATGTCCCTGATGAGATGAAAACGAGTTGGGATGGCTTGCGCAGCAATTTCTGCCCCAGCAGCTAAACCCAACCGCGCTCGTACATTCTCGTGCTCCTTGCGCTGCCTGCGTGCCGCGCGTCCAGAACCTGTGAAGAGATGGATTGACTCGGTCGTGACATCGGAATTGACGCCGAGGGCGGACATTGTCGAGTGAGGGCCGAGTCATGCGAGTTGACGTGACGAGCAGGCCTCCCTGGCAGCCGCATATATTTCTGCGACGGCCAAGTTCACTTGACTACACGTGGCACCCATAGGCCCCCCCCCCCCCTCTTGAGGATCTCTGCAAGGGCATGGAAAGGACTATATGCGAGCGGGATTTCTGCCGCTCTTCCCATCGTGGTTTAGGAGAGATGGTGCCATATTTCTTGTCGTAACTGTCAGCGCTGCTCTAGGCTGATCCCCGTGCTTTTCTCGGCCTGTGTTGGAGGGTGATTGGGGACGGAGCACAGATGGATGGACACTTTGCGAGCGATTGACGAGGCTTCTTTTTCTTTTCTATTTGAGCTTGTTTCACCAGTCCAACGGATTGGCGACACCGTTGATCTTTCTGGGGTCAGCTGGGGGACATTTTCGCCACAGTTTGGCTTGAAGTTTAGGTCTCTTGATAGTAGGTTTCTTGGGTCCAGGTGCCTTGAGTCTAGCTGGGTTTTAGTCTAAGATCGACAAATGGCTGAACGCACCACGAAAATTATCACGGATGAGGCTAAGGCAGAAAGACAGAACATATAGACACATGGCATTTGCAGTTCGGATTTGCATGAATTTGGGGGCCAAGGGGTGTTTGTTCTGGGATTTACGCATAGCTCCGTTCGGCTATACCCGTTTCCTTGGGTTGAAAGAAGGAAAGGCATGTTGACCATGAGACGGGATGTGAAGGGATTGGGGGTCTGTGACGGCGTATGGGAAAGTTGGCGCCTTGTACTCTCTCTCTCTCTCTCTCTCTCTCTTTGTCGTGTTACCACTGGGCGAATTTAAGCTTTCTGGTTTTTCGTCCTTTGTGAGGGGGGGGATCCTAAACGGGTCCTGCCTTGATTGAGCCTCGTGAAGCAGACTGGGTATGCGATAAGAAAGGGTAAGTGGAAAGTATAGTGTCGTGTGTGTGAGAGAGTAGATCTGGGATATGGGTTGTTGTGGTGATTTTTTTTGGTGGTGGAGGAGCTAGGGATTCGGGGTGACGGCTGGACGGGAGATTGACCGTGGGCCTTGGGGACACCGGGTACGGTGTCGGTGGAGCTACGATCGGGGGGCTTGAAGAGATGTTGACATGTCAGTGCGGTTGATGGGGACTCGATGATGGGTAAGCGGAGTCTCCGTGTTCCCATTGCGGATATCCGTACGGAGAGAACGCTTCTCTGGTGGAGATGGAGGGGGGGTTTGCTTGGCGGTTCCCTGTTGCTGGGATTTTGCTACCTAGGCGGAGAGGAAAGAGTTCAGGAATTACATAGTTACGGCAACGGGGACCTTGAGAGATGGAGAGAAAACACGGTTCTCTTGGGGGTCTTTTAGGACAGATGGAGAGGGGGGGAGGGGGACACGGCGGCGTTTGTGTTCGAGTTAGATGTGGCTCTCGGGTGAAGGAAGTTTGGCTGAGTTCGTCTCCGTGTCGGACCGTGTGTGATGGTGAGGCGAGGACTAGGTGATTTTGGGACGGAGAGTTCAGCAAGATGGTGAGGATTACTTGTGTTGGTAGTTGGAGGCACTTTGTTCTGGTTGGGGGATTGTTAGGGGATTGTTAGGCACTACTTACTTTTTGAGAGTTGTCCTTCTTGGAGAGGCTAAGTCTTGACGACTGCTTTGCTGATTTGCTTTTCAATAGTGTTGTGCTGAGAGGGGAGGCAAAGGGAGAGGGGAGCAGTGGGAATGGGAGAGAGTTCAGATGGGTGATCTGCTTAGCTGTTCATGGCAATGTTGTCTGACGTCCAATGAGACGCTACAATCCTCCCCTCGAGCGTGAATTGGGTTTGGCAGTATTGGTTTTTCCACTTTCTTCACCTCATCTCAGTGCACTGCGGACCACGACGTGGGATTGGACGGGGTTCGCCGGTGGAGGGAAGATCACTCTCCTAGTCACAGTCGTCTTGGGCGAACCATTTCTGACCTGGGGGGGGGGGGGGGCGGCCCATGTTGTGTCAGACAACCCAGCGTGCCAGCGAACGAGGAGCGTTCTCTCCTTGCCATAACATCTCATCAGTCAATGGCGAACGCGGCTGAAGCACCGACGGCAGTCGGGCTCTCCGCTGACGCAGGTGGTATCGCCAGTTCGAACGCCCGCGAAACAGAACGTGAGGGGAAAAGTCAACTCGACACCTTCTTCAACGGCCGTATCCGTAGAGCATGTGGCACGTGAGATGTGGCTGTCTAGCTGTCGACCGTTCGCCTCTTCTCAAGACGAGCGCGCAAGACGAATGCTTCACCAAGAGTGCCACACCCCTTGCCTCTGGAGGAGAAGCACTTCAGCCTTGAGGATAGGAATGCAGCACGCGACACCAGCCCATGAAGTTTCGGGATAGCAAATCGTCCCTCTGTTTCTCTCCAAATCCCCGAGTCGAGTTTACTTCTGAAGCCCGATGGACCACGCGGACTCAACAAAGAAATACCCTTCGGGCTGTTTTTTGGCGTCGTCGAGGGGACAAAGACTCGGATAGAGAACCAGACAGAAGACACCATTTGTATCGTCCCCGGGCTTCGGCTCCGGAAGACGCGAGACTGTAACTTCGACCACGGACCAGAAGCTGCCCCATGGCAAACGACAACGACGCGACACCGACACGACGACGGTTGGGTCCTCGTTGACGGAGTTCAACCCCATCCAGAGAGATGTTCCTTCACGTCCTCAACCAAGGGGAACGTCACCCTTGCCCACTACCAACCACACCAATCTCACCATCACAGACCAAAAACACAGTCACGCAGATCCTTTGTTCTAGCGCCATTCTAGAAGCCTGCTAACGGTCTTGGCTTTCCACTTCGTTCGCCCAGCTGGGCGCTACACAGCCCCGCCAGGACTTGAGTGTGTGTCCCGTCACAGTCGCTCGCTCTCCTTCCCCCTGCCTCTGTGCGTCTCTGCCTTTCTCCACCTGCACCTGTCATCCGGACATGACGAGCAAGGGCGTGGGCTCCTGCTCGAGGCAGGCGGCTCTGCTGTCTTTTGGTTCGTCGAGAGAGGCCGTCCCTGGTGGTGGACGCAAGTTGACTTCTGCGTAGATGCTAGTTCGAAAAAGAAAAGAGGGGGAGGCGGCATCGGAATGAATGGGTTGAGATCAGCGTTTCTTGTCTGAATTTCCGTGCTGCCGCTTACCCTGCTTGGTCCTTGGATCAGGACGCTTGAGGTTGAGCCGTCGTTCATCTTCTTTCCATGGGGTTCAGGCTACCGAAGATCTGATTTATTCTAGAAAGCTTGGTGAAGTCTAACGAAGTTGTGGACCGCAGTACCGAGTGTTATTGTAAACAACGAGCATGCCTCTCCAAGCTCTTCGAGTTCTTCACGGGCAACTTCTTCGCGGCGAGTGCGGCGAGCGACGGGAATTGAGAGACTCTATTCCCCAATTCCCCAATTCCCAAAGAGCTTCCTAGAATCAGGCTGAGGCTGATTGGATCTATCCTCGTCGAAGAATGTAACCCGCCATTACCATTACCCAATAGCCACCCGGGACCCCCAGGCAGGAGTTGCTTCACCGTTGCTCAAAAACGGCCTCAGTCCTGAGCCCTGCGCCCGCGCTAATGCGACAAGAGGCGCAAGACAACCATCACTTACACACACGTACTCACACATATCCTTACACCTACGCACACAGAGAAGTCGACTAGAACATCCACAGAACGAACTAGTCGCCACTCGTCAGACAGCGCCGTTCCCCCCTTCGTCGAGGCTCCTCCATTGGCCATTCGTTGGCGTTTCTTGGAGCTCGCAACCTGACTTGGGCCATTCTCGACTTGGTCTCCTCCTCGTGGCCTTCTTTGACGGGGTGACGGGTTGAGTTCCCTTGGCAAGACATAGGAATGGCATACAAATGTCGAATCGCTGCTCTTTCGTGCCTAGCCTTGGCGCATTTCTTTTTCCTTTGCCATTCGGATCTTGTCATACGTACTCGAATCGCGTCGAGTCGACATTCACTACATAACAACCACCCCCATCTCTCGCTTCAGACTTCGCAACAGTAACGTCGTTCCGTCTACTTGTCCATTATCAACTCAACCGAGAACAACTACGCCTTTAACAATATTAGACACGCCATCCTTCAACTCGACGCTTCATGCAACGATAGAAACCATCATCAGTCTCGCAGCGACTGAACCGTGAGCGCATAATGTATCCCGGCAGGAGCCCGTCAAACATGTCCCCAGAAGACGTCCGAACTCTATGCGACCTTGCCGGCCGGTACGGCTCCGGAAGCTTGGAAACCACACTCCGGAACATAAGCGGCAGCAACTACACATCCCTCCGCCCTCCGCCTCCTCAGCACCACCACCGAAACCCTCACCACATGGACGCGCCGGCGAGGAACTCGGCCCTCTCCACGTCCACCTTTGGCAGTAACAACAGCGCGCCCTCCCTCACAAACAGCGCCGGCCCTTGGAGCAGCTCAGACGCGTCCTTCTGCGGCTCCGACGCCGCCTCTGTGTCGGGAAGCTACTTCAGCCAGCAGCCCGGCGGTGCCGTCTCCGCTGCCACCTGGGCCGACGCCGTGGACGCTCCGTTCCTGATGTCGCCCTCGGTGACACCCTCACTCTCCGGCTCCGAGTGGCAAGATCACCACATCAACGATCACCACCCTTCCTCCACAACACCGTCACGCGAGAAAAAGGCAGCAGCCAGCATGAAGTCACCGTCCTCGGGTGCCGTCGCGGGCCGCAAGCCCATCGAGTGTCCCATGTGCGCCGTCCACGACGTCTACGTCGGCTTCGGCAGGAAAAGCGACTTCAAGAAGCACCTCCAAAACTTCCACAACACCGACTGCATCTGGGTCTGCCCGCAGGACAACTGCCGCATGATCTTTGACTTTGAAAAGGCCTACATCGCCCACGTCAAGCTGGACCACCACCAGGGCGAGGCAGCATACCCGCCCGCGGCGGCGGTGGCGGCAGCAGAACAGGTCAAGGTCAGCCTCTGCGCGCAAGTCGTCTTCGCTTGCGGCTTCATCGGCTGCAAAGAGGTCTTTGAGGCCTCGGACGACAGCGAGGCCCCCAAGACGGCCGACGCCTACTTTGACCACCTTGCCAGCCACTTTGACAAGCGCAGCAGCACCATCAACGCCAACAGCAGCAGCTATACCCTCGGCGTCTCGTCAGAGTGGACATACTACCACCAGATGCAGAACCTCCTCCGCCAACGCTCCCTCAAAGACGAGTGGAAGCATATGCTCTGGGACAAAGCCGCCCGCAACCAACTCCGCTGGCAACCCCGTTCTTCGGGCGACTTCAAAAAGATCCTCGAGTGCCGCCATCTCGCCGATGTACCTCGCATCCTCCACGCCGCCTGGACGCTTGGCCAGACCTGCTTCTCCTCCCCCGAGCACCCAGCACCCGATTTCCCCGGCGAAGCAACGCGGCCCGTCCGGTCCCGCTGCCCTCTCGCAGGCGAGGGGAGGAACCACGGCGAGCTCCGTGATGTTGTTTGCGGAGACGACCAGCAGCACAATGACGAGCAACCGCCGTCGGCAATGACCATGTTCGCCCTCCGCCGCAGCCTCTTTCCCGTCAAGCTCGCCACCGTTTCGCACCCGCCGTCGCGCTCGATTCCCGAGGAGCCGGATTCCCTGGCCTACCCGCACCCAGGCACCCCTCTCGTCATCCCCGAGCGCGATGCCTGGTCTACGGACGTCGTGCTGGGGCCGCCCGAGGATGAGCAGCTCTTCGAGCCCATGTTCATGCCAGGCAGCGGGGCAACGACGAATATGCTGCAGAACCCCATCTCTCCCTGGATCGATGCCACGTCTCAACAGCACCAGCAGCGACGGTCTTTCGGCGACTTTTCCTGTCATCTCACACCCTCGCCGCAACCTACCGAAGACCAGGAGAGCAGCTTTGGCCCGTTGCTTCAGATTCCTCAGCACACCTCCACCGCCGCCGCCGCCGCCTCGAAACGTCCCCGCTCGTGGGGCATGAGGAGCCTCGAGAACCTGCGCCTCAAGCGTCGTGGGCGTTCGTCGCCTGTCACGTCACCGGTCGAGGAGAAGGCCTTGCCTGGGTGGATCTGAGACAACACGCTGTCCATTCTTCCACTACATCCCTTTCTCAATTTTTCTTTGTCCATACAAACCTTTAGATGTGTATTACCTAACGCTTCACATGACATGACTTCATGGGTGGTGGCGCAGCTTCATAGACTACTCTTTTTCTTTGCATTTCTTTGTTGGTTAGGGTCGGGATCGAAAACTATAGACTACAAGATACCCCCAATGGGCCTTTTTTTTTCTTTCCTTTTCTTGGTTGTACATTTCGGGGTCGCCGAAGCGCTACAGAGGCAAATGAAGTGGCTAGGGATTTACATTGCTTTGTTACTGTCTGGCGGCGGCGCTGACAGCATGATGATTATGACGACGTAGAGGAGATGGGGCGTTTAAGGTGGGAAATACCACATAGAAAATTCAGCTTGAGTTATGCCTCTTACAACTCCTCATCGTTTTGCACATTCATGTTTTGATGTCAAATTAGTAGTAGATATACATCTCAAATATCCATTATGACTGAATTTACACTTCACATCATCTGTGTCAAGACGAGAAGACAAACGAGGAGCAAGAAATCAAGCCTGCATTCTTTTTCTCAAATGGCCCATGATGCCTACAACTTCGTTCGCTCCACAGGAGTAGGCTTTTGTAAAACTGAAGCAGAAGATCCGACTTCGAGAAGGCTGCTCATGCCAAGAGAGACAACCTTAACCGCGGGGGGCGGATTTTTTTGGCAGGCTACCTCCGACCCAAGGTAAGGCGGGTCAGATAATAAGGTATCATGAGAACAGCGCCGGCATGCAAGCACACCATTTTCCATCACACACTTTGCCTTACGTCAGTTCATTATATTCTGCACTTGAAATAATGGAAAGAGGCAGAAAAAGAACAGTGAAGCAATAATGATTGTCATCATTGGGAGCACGGGCAAACAATGCAGCCTCTCTTAAGCTCTATGCATGCATCCTTCCAACACAATAGGCCTACAAGAGCATCTACCACCCGACTAAAGAACGTTCGCCCGATATTATTACTAGATATCCTTCGTGCACACCTCCTTCCCCCCATAGAGGTGACTGGAGATTGGTGATCGAGGACCGGCAACGGCGATAATATCAGAGCCTGCCTAAGCGCCCACGTTACATAAGGTAGTGGAGAGCTCGGGGAAGATATGACCTGCCCGATTGGTTGAGCGTGCTGACGGGCATGGCGCAGGCTGGAACGTATGAATGCCTTGGAATATAAAGAGCCTTGTCAGTCTTCCCGTTTCTCTCAAGCTTGACAATCTGAGTCTCGATATTTCTGTATTACTCATTGCTTCATGATGGGCGCGGTCGAGCTCATCGGAGACCTGCTGTACCTTGTTGGTTTCTTATTGACCTTTTTAGGAAGCCTATTTCAACCCAAAGCTCTCTTCAATCGAATCTTCAGGGCTGCAAAGACAGCAGAACTATATTCCAGCGATCCATGGATTTATTTGGATCAGCCTGGCCGGTATATTGGGATATGGGACGATCCTGATTCAGCATCCACCCAGACTGATGTAGAGAATTCCTTCACATTTCGGAGCGACGTCGATCATGATGCCGACAGCGCCCAGATAGAGTCATTCATGAGCGGCATCCCACCGCAAAGACATGGAACGACTCGAGTATTCCTTTAGGAGATGCCTAGCGATGATGTTCGCGAGAATGACTCCACATCTGGAGATGATTTTCCTTACAGGTTTCCTTCTCTTGCCAACAACATTGCGGGTTTCTTGTCCCTGATTACCAACCAACCGTACGCTTGTCCATTTCGATGGTACAGACTGGAGTCTTTCGACCTTATTGAAAGGACGGAAGAGATTAATGGCCGTGATCGACTTGGTTGGGTCAATGTTATACGGTATCTGCGCTTCCAGGACACTGGCAATGAACTACAAGGTAAGTTTTTGTCGGAACGGCAAGGCTGATAAGGAGCAATGGGCAGGTATCGTGGGCTGGCTGGCGCCTGCCCTGGGCGAAGTGGGACAACTGGCTTAGTCACCACGGCCGGTTAAGGTGGGGCAACCACCCAGGCCGTCACCACCTACTTCGACCGACCCCTGCCCACAATGTAAAATAGGAAGAAACAAGAACAACAACAGCAATTATCACGGACATCGACGTGATTGTTGCCGAAGATACACCCTCATGAGGAAATGTATCACGCCTGTGATACCAACAGTTTTCCTTCATATCCGAAGCTGACCTAAATGGGTATGCAACTCACAGTTGATTAGAGTTCATCATTTATAGGACGCGCATCAATAGAGACTGGACGGTCTTGGATCGCTCTCTTCTAGAAGAAGAGTTCGGTCTCCATCAGGCAACAGCTTCCTTTGCTTCCCAGCTATGCGAACTTAAGGCCATGTATCGCCACCTCAAAACGCCGTCAAAATGGGAAAAGGCTTTCAGTCTACAGTTCTGCCACGCGAATCTGCTGTTATTTACTCGATTCCTTCTGAGATTTGAAGAGGGCTTCAAAAAGCACAAGGGTGTATACACCACTCGCGCGGAGCTCCAACAAGGCAATGTTGAGAAAATCACTGGAGACTATCAATTGATTCAGCAATTCTCCGAAATTAGAGATCGAATGCTAGTCATTATTGAATCACTAGTTGAGATCCTCCAGAACGCCATACAAAGTCCTGCTGCACCGTCAACGCCAACGAGAGAGTCCAATATCACCACAACCCCAACATCAGAGAACACCGAAATAGCAGCTATAGACTTTAAACTAAGCCTGCATTGTAAACAGATGAGAAGCAGCCTATCAAGACTTTCCGCTGCAATGGAGCATGACCTTAGACTACTAGAACTGAGGAGAGAAGTAAAACAAACGGATGATGTCCAACAGCTAAGTCTCCTTGCCACAATTTTCTTACCTCTTTCTATATCTGCGGGTATCCTTAGTATGCAGACGCGATTCAAGGACTTAGGTGCGCTTTTGTTCGACCTTTTTGGTGTTATGACTCTCCTTGGTGCGCTCGCACTTTGTTCTATCTTGGTCTTGAACTTTGTAAAGTTTGGAACTAGGCACTTGGCCCAGATCGATATGATCGCATACTGGAACATGAACTCGATTGAGGATATAGCTAAGCAAAAGCACCAGCTGGCCATGTACGTGCTGTTTCGGAAAGTTGCATCTATCCTGTGGTGGCTGGGGCTGGGGCTATTCAGCATTCTTATTGATGTTTCATTTCTTGTTGGCATGTTTAGAGACATTGACCTCGGTGCTAAAATGCTTGGATATGGAACCGCTATTCTTTCTCTTCCTATTGTCATAGCCGTGATTCTTGCTTTTTGTCAAGTTGGGATTGTTGACGCAGGGTGGAAGCTCTCAGAGGCCAACTGCAGTTAGGGGTAGAATGATGAATTATTGAAATCTGCTCCTCCCTCGACGTGTACTCCCTGCGCTGTATATATATCTGAGCTGCTCCTTTGTTGCTTGGACTCCTTACTACCTCTTACTAGCCCCTATTCGGGAGGGCTCTGACACTTTTCTTGTCTCTGCAGTTGCAAAACCACTAAAACGACGGGACAAAGCAGAGAAAATGGGGCCAATGTCAAGAATAGTTAGGTTCGAAAGGCTTCAGCATGGTAAGAGGGGAGATGAGGAAAATACCGACAGGTATACCTCACCTGAGCCTGTGATTAGGATACCTAGCGTAGCAAGCAAGCGCTGCCGCAACTCATGAGAATTCGGAGGACGAGCACCTGTTCGGAACTAGCGAGTAGATATATCTAGGGCAGTCAACAGGCTACGGGGCCTGTATTCAATTGCTAGTCACCTTTATGAGTACGTGACCAAGTCGACACAGTCTGAACGTCAAACTCAGGCTAGGAGATGGATGATCGAGATGAGGTGCAAAAGAAATTTAAAAAATTTAAAAAAATTTCAACATTCAACTCGTGAAGTTTGATATATGTACATTCTTTTGACAAGGTCGAGGTAAACTAACCCAACTCCGTGACGGTCGATTTTTGTGTGAATGCCCGAAATGAAGCCCTCAACTACGGAAAATGCTGCGATAAAGCACTTTTTAGATTTTTGTTTTGATTTTAAACTTGTTGTGCTTCCAGACGTAAACCTGCGATACAGGTATTTGATTCGTCGTCGCCCGTAATAAGAAAAACCCTCGATTCCCAATGGAAAGACTTTTCTGCTCAAGATGGAGATCTCGTTATGGCCAAAGAGAACCCAACAAAGCCCGGTGGTATAAGATGAGAGAGCAATATGCATGGACGTTTCCAATGTGGAAAAATTAGATAACAAGAAAGGGCTGCGAGGGCTGGCTGTTTAGCCGTGGAGACCACGCGTTCTCTCGCGCATCAGCTCACGACGCTTCTTATCCTTCTCTGTGCGGGGGTTAGCATTTGGCTTACAAAAGTGAAGAGATGGGGAATACTAACCTCCGTCCCATGTCAGGAACTCGTGAAGAGCTGATCCAGAGGGCACCATGGGCAGGACAGGCACCTTCTTGTCGGTGACGACCTCAAGGAAGGCGGGGCCGTCGGAGTTGATGAGCCACTTGAGAGCGTCGACAACCTCGTCAGGCTTGCTGACTCTGCGGTGCTGGACACCCATGGCGTCGGCCAGCTTCATGAAGTCGGGGTTCTGTTGGTGAGTGTGGGCGTAACGGTCCTCGTAGAAGAGGTTCTGCCATTGCGTAACCATACCCTGCTCCTCGTTGTTCAGAACAATGACCTTGACGCCAATGTTGAACTGCGCAGCGGTGGAAAGCTCGGTGAGGGTCATGTTGAAGGAGGCGTCACCGTCAATGTCGATAACGAGAGCGTCAGGCTTAGCGACCTTGGCGCCAATGGCGGCGGGCAGACCGTATCCCATCGTACCCAGGCCACCAGAGGTGACCATGGTTCTGGGGTGTCTCCAGCGGAAGTGCTGGGCGGTCCACATCTGGTGCTGACCGACACCGGTAGCGATGATGGTCGTATCCTTGCGGTCGGCGGTCAGGTTGCTGAGCTCCTCAATGAGGGTCTGGGGCTTGATGAGGCCGGAGCGCTCGGCCTTCTCGTAATCGGACATGGGCCACTTAGCCTTCCACTCTCTGATCTTGTCGAACCATTCCTTGCGGTCCTCCATCGTCTTGGGCTTCAGATGGGGGATAAGAGTGCGGAGGTTAGTGGCGACGTCACCCTCGACGGCCTCGGTGGCCTGGACAACCTTGTTGATGTTCTTGGGCATGATCTCGAAGTGGACGATACCACCGCGGCCCTCGGCAGCGGCAGCCTTGGCGCCAGGGGCGAACTTGGCGACGTTGAGGGTGACACGGTCGTCGAAACGGGCACCGAGGGCGATGATGAGATCGGCCTGCTGGATAGCCATGTTGGCGTAGGCAGAACCGTGCATACCGAGCATGTGGAGGGACTTTTCGTCAAGCTCGTCGAAAGAGCCGAGGCCGTGGAGGGTGGTGGTGACGGGGATGGAGAACTTGTCGGCAAG